TAAGTCGTCATCCATGTTGATGTAGTCATCAAAATTAATATTTACACCTTGCCTCACATCGTCCCATACATTTATTGTAATCGTTTGTTGAATTTCTTCATTGCCGACATTTTCTGAATTTCCGCTTAAAAAACCAGCTTTACGGAAACAGTTTGCAATGGTTTCTGATGTTACTTGTTCCCAAGCATTTTTGGACATTCGATTTGCTTGTAAAATATCAATTTTACCACCATCCTGTAGCAAGTTCAGTACTAGTAGAGTACGGTAATGGTGCTTGAAATTTTTAATAATTCCTTGGTCCATTGGCTGAACCACAGATGTCATATTGGGAGGAAAAAACAAAACTTCGAGATTACCCATTGTAGGAATGTACATGTAGTTATGCGCAGTGCAATTGTCAATAAACAACATCACTTTTCTGTTTTGTTTACAAAATATTTTATCGATTTTCAGTAGCCAATTTTTAAAAATTTCGCCTGTCATCCAAGCTTTTTTATTCGCTTGATATTCAACTGGTTTCGATTTTACATTTTTAAAGCACCTAGGATTTGATGATTTTCCTATCATCAACAATGGCAATTTTTCTGACCCGTCTATGTTAGCTCCGACTAACAGTGTTACGCGTTCTTTACTTTGTTTGCCACCACTGCACCTTTAAAAGCTAGTGTTTTGTCTGGGGTACACCTGTAAAATAAGCCTGTTTCGTCTGCATTGAAAATGTCTTTGGGATTTTTGCTTTTTATCATTTGTAACAATTTTATTTTCCAATCATCAGCTTCTTGAACATTTACATCACCACTTTCACCACTTACGGTTTTAACATGCGTTTTGATGATGACATTACGAACGATCACGTTGAAACTGAGACGGTATTAATTTTACTTTGATGTATTTTTTTTAATAAAAATTAAAAAAAATTGTAGGTTTTGAATAGTAAATAATAGAAAAAATGTCGAATTAAAAATGTATAGAAAATTCAATTTAAAACAACGGTTAAATGAATTTTTTTTATGTTTTTATAATGAACGATTTATAAATTAACAGTTTTAACGGTAAGAATAAAACATATACGTTTTTATTTTTTTAGGGCTAAATAAGAACTTTTCGAAAATTTTTGTATATATACTTTTTATAGAAAAATTGTATACCTACAAAAAAGATCGAATAAACTTTTTCGCAAAAGCTGAAGTTTTTGAGATAGACATAAAAAACTAAAAAATCACCCTTGGGGGGTTATTTTTAACCCTCTTGGGGCACGTCTTAGAGTTAACCAATCGTCTCCAAATTTTGTGCAATTTATTTTTTCATGTATTCGAATAATTCTAGGGGGTGGCACTAACAAATATTAAAAAAAAAAAAAAACTCTCATGTAGCTAAGGGTCACTCTAATATATAATCCATATTCGGCGGCGGCCTTATCTCAGTGTCAAGGGCAGGGAGACAACCGATGACAACCGATTGTCATATTAATAGCTGGACGGCTGATATCGAGAGAGACACGGGCGAGCGCCAGCCTAGAGCAAAAGGCGGTGCCGTGTCAAACTTGTTTAGTGTTTTAAAATTTGGTAACATTTTTTGTAGCTGTGGCTGGAGGTGAAACTAGGGTATGGTTATTTTTATCAATAATCATTTTCCAAACGTACTCTTTCTTCTGCCAAGGTATAAAAATGAGAATAACTTCCAGAAATACCCGACTGCCAAAAAAAACTAAAAATACCTTTTTTTATTAAACATTATTTTAAGAGAAATCAAATGCCTAATAAAAAATAATTACTATGTAAGCAGAAATTTAATAAGCAGTTTTTTAAAAGTTTAAAACGAATTTATAACTGATAAATCAAGAAATGTATTAAATAAAAAAAGTAAAATTGTCTTTAATATTGTATTTGTTTACGAGTAATCGAGTAGTTTATCAAGGAAAAGAAAATTCATGACAATATTATGAATATAAGTATACTTGTAAATGAATTAATATTAAGATATAGCATTAATATTTATAATAATTTCAATAAAAGAGTAACTTAGGACAATATTAAATAATATATATAAAAGAACAAAATTCTATCAAAGTTTGCTCACCTAATGCCTATTTATTTCGTTTTGACATGTATTTCGTACATGTCATTTTTTGGAAAAAACGTAAAAAACCTCTCAATTTGTATGAAAATTTTGTGGGAAATTTTCTTGGTGCTATTTATTTTGTATAATTATATAAATAAGACTTTCTATTTTAAGGAGAATGGATAAATAATGAAAAGTATGGCCGAGGAAAATATACATATAAAAATGGTGACGTATTTGAAGGTTTATGGAAATCGAATAAGAAACATGGTCTAGGTACTTACAAATATTCTAAGTCAAAAAATATTTTAACAGGAATGTGGCATGAAAATAAAAGAATCAAAGGATTTAAAATTTTTTTTCCTTGCAAATTTCAAAATTCTGGTTACATATTTCACGGAACATGGAACGAAAATGAACTAGTAAATATATAATTTTTAAGGGACAAAATTGTATTAATGTGCATCAATTTTTGTATTACTATTTTTTAACGGCTGTAACAAGAATCTTCATAAAATAAGTAAAAATTTTACTATAGATATATTTAATTTTCAGTTAATATGAACATAATACACAGATAGAACTATGATGTTTTGACTTATTTAATTATTTTAACCATTATACTAAAAATTACTATCAATAATTATCTTATATTCTATAATTTATTCATACACAAGTAATGTTTGAAATATATTTAACTACATAGGTAGAAATGTAAATGTCTAAAATAGGCTGTCAACTCAATGCTAAAAATTTCTTCTGATTATTTAGTCGTCGATTCATATTTGTCAATACTAATATAATGTTAATGTTAACTAATGCTACAGGCTTGTTTTTCTAAAATTAAGCACAAAGAAATTTTTTGTAAACATTTATGCCCAGAGTATATTAAACATTAGTTATCCTCTATTATGGAATGTTTAAAAATAAACAAATTATATAAAATTAAGTTGTATTTTATACAAAAGTTGTATGCTTTTCGTATAAATAGTATAAGTAAAATTACAAACTTCGTGTTACTTTTTTTTTAGTAATAATTAATATCTGCGTTCTAATAACACATATTAAAGAAACGACTTTCTTTTTTTTATTTATAATAATTATTCATAACTAAATAATTTGTTATAAAGATTTTTTGTTTTAAAATTAGTATAACTGAAAAATTTAACATGTTATAAAATATTAAAAAACCAAATATTTTTATATTAAAATTCAAATATCATTATATTTAATAATCAGACAATTAATTTTAGCCAATTAGTTGTTATCAATAATTAATTAATTAACTACTCAAAGATATTATAATTTCACGTATGATAATGAATTATCCTTTTCTTGTATTAATACCTATGTTGTGACCTCAGTTTATTCCGCTATTCAGATATATATATTTGAATGGTACCTAGAGTTTTGACAAGGTTATCGTTTATACTTTATAACAAGTATGTATATCTATCGTTAACTTTCTATTTGCGTTACAAAGCTTGTGAAATAACGTTTGTTCTCTTGTTGAGTAGACACTTATAGTTACATTCTCGTGTTGTAATGTAAAATTGAGCTCGAGTTGTAGATGTTTTTTTGTGCGTTGCCCGTAGTATTCGTCTTTAAATAATTTTTTCAATTGGTCTTAATAGAACGTTATACAGCCAATTTTAAAGCGAAAAAACAAGTCTTCTTGAAATTTATTTTACACACTAAGTACTGCACTTAGAGCTATAACACCCATTATAAAAACAAAAGAGAACAATATTTTGGAGGTGATCTCATATTCGTTTTTGGATATATTGTTTTAGTAAAGAGTTATAATTGATTGAAGTTTAATATAAACGTACATTTTCAAATTCAATTATCAAGATTAATATTAGGTTATTCCCAAAATGGATATTTTTTTATTTTTATTTAAATTATAAACGGGTAAAAAAAAACCCTTTAACATAATGCGATAGAATAAATACAATAATTTCTTATTTTAACATTAATTAAATGAAAAAATACAATTTTAACTAAATACTATCAGATTAATAATAAACAATTAGATATAAACAAATTACAATACACAATTAGATAATGCATTATTACTATTCAATTTGAAGAGATCACGAGACATATAGAAAAAATCAACAATGTTTAGAATTTTATTAGCTAACAATAGGACTCGAGGAAAATATGATGCTGAGCTATAATTAGTGGTACAGAAAGAAACATGAAACAGTTTTGGAAAAAATTGGATATGAAATTGTCTTTAAAATATTGTCCTTTTCAATTTTGTAATAGGTGTTGAAACTCTAAATGTAATACAGCGTGAGTAAAATGCATTCTTTTAAGATATGTTATAGACCACTTTTTGAGATTTTTTTTTGTCGACTAGTGCTGCCCCTAGTGATTATATTCTTAAAATATTTACAGATGATGGTGTGGCGTGAGGTGTGGCTCGATATGTCGCCGAAAATGTTATCAATATTTCTTTAAATAATTTTAATAACACGTGCGGACCAATTTTATAATATTGGCACTCAATGTTTGAATTTTTATTACTTTTCAGAATTTTAACTTCGATTTCAAATCGAAAAGGTATTAATTTTACTATGCAGTATTTTTTTTTTTTTGTCAGTACTTATTTTTCAACATTACGTCAAAAATCACAAATCGTATCTAGTTGAAGACGTTTGCCGTATATGAGGGAAAACCCAAAAAATTTACAATTTTATAAATCAGTTATTTCTTAAAACTACTATAACTTTTTCAAAAATGAACAATTCAACATAATTTTTTTACAAAAAATTATGTAACTTATTTTTTATATTTCTATAACTTTTTGAAAAATGTATGGATCAATACTATTTATATACCTCTTTCATTCGACATACTTCTTTTTTAAGTCGGACAAATTCCCTTTATACAGGAGGGTTTCAAAACTTAAAAATGCATATAAAAAGTAGAACTCTTTTTAACTTAATTTTTGAAAATGTTCCGGAATTACTGACACTTATATACAGGGTGGCCCAGTACTCACTGACAACTTAAATAACATTTGATCCAGTTAATAATTTTAGTTGATTTTTTTTTTTAATAATAGTTATACGTTAGGTCTAAAGCTATATCTCAATAATTAGTTTTTTTGCATTTTATTAAAAATATTAATTATTTTTAAATTTTAAATAAAATGTAAAAAAAAAAACTGAGATAGCTATTTTGTAGAGTAGAATTTAAGAAAAATTTTAGTAAAAAAATATCTTAATAATATTCAGTAGTAAATATACTGTAGCATTTTAAAGTTTGTGAACATTTGAATTTTCATGAATTATTTTACGGTATTAAACATTACAATGGCATTAATACCATGATAAGAAATTTGATAAGGCAATTATTCAAAAGTATGTCATTTTTATGGAAAATGTTACACACCTCCAAATTATAGTAATCATGAAAAGATTGTGTTTTCTCCTGTCCTTTTCTTAATACGTATTTCAATGTTTAATACCGTAAAATAATACATGAAAATTCAAATTTTCACAAACTTTAAAATGCTACAGAATATTTACTATTGAATATTAATAAGATATTTTTTTACAAATTTTTTTTTAAATTCTACTCTACAAAATAGCTATCTTTTTTTTTTTTAAATTGAGAGGTTTAACTTGGGCCACGCAACGGATTATGGAGTCGCCACCCTCATGGCTCCCTTGCAAAAGGAAATCGGGTCGCCAACCACTTAGGCGAGAGTCTTGATCATAAAAAGAACAACACCCGGACCATAAGTGGATTTAAGAAAATAAAAAATAATAAGAAAATCTATACTATGCACTTTGATGAAACAAAGTGGATTAAAAAAAATTATATATACATATACTAAAATATAAAGTGTTGTGGTAGACTATAATACGCTGATACCTTGTAAATAAAAAAAATATGTATATTTGATGTCACCAGTGGTGGACATACTTTAGTATGTCGAAGACCGTTACCTTAAAACTAGAGAGAATTATTAAAATGGGGAAAAAAAGTAAGATACACGTGAATATTGAAGATATTCACGCAATAAAAAGATTTTTTGTTGATTAAGAAAATTTAATCTACAACTTTTAAATATTACACATGAAGTGTCTTCCGCATCGGAACAAGTCCGTGTACTCCGGGCGCGGCGTATAATTTCTGTAATCTGGCCGGCCGGCCGGACCGTACTTGGGCACTGCGGGAATAATATATATATGTATTAAATATACATGACACACCACTAACCAATAACCTTATATTTATTAATTATAGCTAAATTTATACAGGATGATTTTTTTATCATAACCCACTCAATTACTTGCAGAATAATAATAATTTAGACATTTTTTTTTTTCATTATCTTTAGTTACACATTATTCTTGAATTTTTAACTATGTAATACTTTTTAAGTTCATCCCTTATGCCTTGGAGGGGGGTAAACTTTGTTTTTTTAAATGGTAACACATATTTTTAATTTAATAAAATGTTTGAGTTTTTAATTTAATAGTAAATGGCATTTTAATTTTTAATATAACTTTATTAGCTTATTAGATATAAACATTTAAAGTTTCAAAATGTTGAGTTAATATACATGTATAATACACATGGGATTGTAAATACAAGTAGCTAATTGGATTTTTATAACATCGATATTAGCAGGTACACAGCATTGTTATTATCAATTGTAGTTAAAAATTCAAGAATAATGTGTAACTAAAGATAATGAAAAAAAAAAATGTCTAAATTATTATTATTCTGCATGTAATTGAGTGGGTTATGATAAAAAAATCACCCTGTATACAGCTGATAAAAAAAATAAATTTATAACATAAAAAGGCTCAAAACAATATATTAAATAAAATAAAAACAATATACGATACCCAGTCCCGGATGGGACTCATCCTAAGATGGAGATCTCGGCCCCGGAAATGGCCGACGCCTTGTTGAATCAATACATTATTATAATGAACGACACACACGAAAAAAAAACAAATAATGTTGGCTGTACGCACAGCCAAAATACCACGACGGTGGTTCAAAAGGAAGAGACTACAAATTTTTCTTACACACCGGGCGAGACACAACGACGACGACGATCACGTTTGGGAGAGGGTATCGGCTTAACAATTTACAAAATATATAACAGATAAAAATATGAACAATATTAAAATTATACAGGTAGTGACAGTGGTGGCCAGTGTATGTGTCATATAGGGAACGATTATTAAACTGATAAAGAATATTGTGTGTATAGCGTTCACCTTGACAGCAACAGTACAGTTTTCTGATTACACGGCCGGATATAACGTAAGCGAGCCCATTAGCAAAGCAAAACAGTAAATCTATCTATATCATAAAATTCACATTTTGTCACGTTACAAAATTTTATTTAAAATTTAAAAATAATTAATATTTTTAATAAAATGTAAAAAAATTAATT